TTGTTCGAGTTGTAGGGTTAATGTTTTGATTTTGACCCTTTCTTCTATTTAGATGTGCGCATTTATTGCTGTAAACTGACCTCTGAGCCCTGCTTCTGCTGAGTCCCAAAGGTTCTGGTAGGATGTGTTTTCATTCACATTTGATTCTGTGAATTTATTCAATCCTTAATTTTTTTCTGTAACCCAGTAGTTTTTGAGCAAGGTGTTGTTCAGTTTCCATGTGTTTGATTTTCTTCCTTGCTTTTTGTGTTGTTGATTTCTACTTTTATGGCTTGATGGTCAGAAAAGATGCTTTGTAATATTTCGATGCTTTGGATTCTGTTAAGGCTTGCTTTATGTGGTCTATTCTGGAGAATTGTTCCATCTGCATTGGAAAAGAAAGTATACTTGGCTGCTGTTGGTTGGAATGTTCTGAATACATCTGTGAGATCAAGTTGGTTGATTGTGGCATTTAGATCTTCCGTATCTTCAAGGAAAGTGTTAGCCCAAGAGATAGAAAGGGCCACATGAACCAGAGACTTCATCAGCCTGAGACCAGAAGAACTAGATGGTGCCCGGCTACCACCAATGACAGGGAACACGACAGAGAGTCTGTGACGGAGCAGAAGAAAAGTGGGATGGAAAACTTCAAATTCTGGTAAAAAGACCAGACTTAAAGGTTTGACTGAGAACTTTAGGGACCCCAGAAGACATGGCTCCAGGACTCTCTGTTAGCCTAAAACTAGAACCATTCTACGGGCCAACTCTTTGGACAAAAATTGGACTGGACTACGGGAAATAAAATGATACTCGTATAGAGTGTGCTTCTTAGCTCAAATAGATACATCAGACTAGATGGGCAGCTCCTGTCCAGAGGCGAGATGAGAAGGCAGAGAGGGTCAGGAGCTGGTTGAATGGACACGAGAAATCTGGGGAGGAAAGGAGGTCTGTGCTGTCACAGTATAGGGAGTGCAGCTAGGGTCACATAGTAATGTGTGTATAAATTTTTGTATGAGAGACTAACTTGAATTGTAAACTTTCACTTAAAGCACACCAATTAAAAAAAAAAAAAAAGATCTTCCATGTCTTTGTTGAGCTTCTTTCTGGATGTTCTGTCCACCGAAAGTGGTACGTTGAAATCTCCTCCTATTATTGTAGAGCTGTCTCTCTCTCTTTTCAATGCTGTTAGAGTTTGTTGTATGTATTTTGAAGCCCTGTCATTGGCTGCGTAAATATTTGTTATGGTTATGTCCTCCTGGTATATTGTCTCTTTAATCATTAAATTGTGTCCTTCCTTATCCTTTGCAGTGGATTTTACTTTAAAGTCTATTTTGTGAGAGATTGATATTGCCACTCCTGCTCATTTTTGAGTGTTGTTTGCCTGATACTTTTTTTTTCCATCTTTAAAGTTTTAGTTTGTGTGTTTAAGGTGTGTCTTACAGGCAGCATAAAGACGGATCGTGTTTTTTTAATCCATTCTGCCACTCTCTCTTTATTGGTGCATTTAGTCCATGTACATTCAGCGTAATTATTGATATGAATGAGTTTAATGCTGTCATTTGGTATCTTTTTTTGTGTGTGTTGTTCACAGTTTCTTTGTTCCACTTAATTTTCTGTGCTGAGTCTTTTTTCGTTATGTATTTTCATTGTTGTTGATTTTGTATTTGCTGAGTCTTTAAGTTTTTCATTTTGATGGGTAGAATTGTTACTTTTTGATTACCTTAATATTTACCCTTATTTTTCTAAGTTTAAACCACTCTTTTATTTCTTTATATTGTCTTGACTTCCTCCCTGTATGAAAGGTTTATGACTACATTTTTCACTCCCTCTTTTTTGTTTTAATGTTGTCATCTTTTACATATTGACATCTCTGTTTCCCTATTTTAATTGTTGTAGCTTTGATTTATTTTTGTGACTTCCCTATCTGGGTTGATATCTGGTTGCTCTGTCCTGTGTTCTAGTCTTGGTTTGTTATCTGATGTTACTGATTTTCTAACCAGATGACTCCATGTAGTATTTCTTGTAACTTTGGTTTGTTTTTTGCAAATTCCTAAACTTCTGTTTATTTAGAAATGCCCTAATTTCCCCATCATATTTGAGAATCAGTTTTGCTGGATAGGTATTTCTTGGCTGGCAGGTTTTTTCCTTCAAGGCGTTGTATTTCATCCCTTTGCCTTCTTGCCTGCGTGGTTTCTGCTGAGTAGTCTGAGCTTAGTCTCATTGACTCTCCTTTGTAGATGACTTTTCATTTATCCCTAGCTGCTCTTAAAATTCTCTTTATCTTTGGTTTTGGCAAGTTAGATTATAATATGTCTTGGTGACTTTCTTTTGGGATCTAATGTGGGGTTCGACGAGCATCTTGGATAGATACCTTGTCATCTTTCACAAAATCAGGGAAGTTTTCTGCCAACAAATCTTCAACAGTTCTCTGTGTGCCCTAACCCCGCTTCTGGTACTCCAATCACTCGTAGGTTATTCCTCTTGATAGAGTCCCACATAATTCTTAGGGTTTCTTCATTTTTTAAATCCTTTTATCTGATTTTTCCTCACATAAGTTGGTGTCAAGTGCTTTATCTTCAGTCTCACTAATTCTGACTATCATTGCCTGAATTCTGCTCCTTTGACTTTCTATTGAGTTGTCTAATTCTGAATTTTATTGTTAATCTTCTGGATTTCTATTTGCTGTCTCTCTATGATTCTTGCAGCCTGTGAAATTTGTCGTTGTGCTCTTCTCTAATCTTAAGTTTGTTGTTTTTTTCTGTGTGTTTCTTGTCTTGTTCTACATTTTGCCTGATCCCTTTCCTGATTGCTTGAAGAGTTCTGTATATTAATCTTTTGTATTCCATCTCCAGTAATTCCAAGAAGTTCTCTTCCTCTGGAAGATTTCTTGAATCTTTGTTTTGGGAGCTTGCTGAAGCTATCATGGTCTGCCTCTTTATGTGATTTGATACTGACTGTTTTGTCTCCGAGCCAACAATAAGTTCTTATGTTTATTTATTTTATGTTTCCTTACTATGTCTTAGCTTCTTGTTTTGATGTGTCCAAATAGGCTGCTCCTGTGAGCTAGTTGGATTATTGGCACCTTTGAAGCACTAATGACCTGTCACCAGGTGGTTAGATCTGTTAACCAAGTATGTGGTCCCAGGAGTCCGTTTAGTTTTCTTGTATGGATTCAGCTCAGTTGTCCAGGTAGTCAGTCACCAAGTGTGTGGTGCAGGCTCTCACCTACAGCCCTAGACAAGCAGGGGTGATTGGAGTAGGTGCAGTTATCTGGCTATAGTAAAGGGACATATGCTCAGCAAGGCAGTGGGCTGATGGTTGTCCCTGAGTGTCTGGGAGGAAAGCGTGTCCCTGTTTCCTAGAGCGTGTAGGTCGGTGGGTTTTGCACCAAGACTGTGGGCACCCAGTGCTGTTGACTATAAGGCCTGGGAGGCAGCACTTATTCTTGGACCTGTGTCATGGTGGCGTGGGTGGAGCCACCAGTCCTCAGACCCCTGATGTGGGTAGGTGAGGACCCTGCTTAATGGGCAGAGCAGCGGCAGATGTCATGAACCTGCTGGTTCACCATATATCTGAAACAGTTGAAGTTAGACTTCAGGTATGTACCCTGTTGTACTGCGGTAATGAGGGCCTACAGTGTTGAAATGGGCCCACACAGGTCTATGCAGCAGTGAAAGGAATTCAAACTCTGTGGAACCCTTATGCCTGTGCCTAGGCAAAAGAGCTGTGCCTACCCTAAGTTCTGAGCTCAAGGGAGTCAGCAGATTATTTTTTCCTGTTTGTTAATTTGTTCCCTCTCCAAGGCCGAGAGAATGGCTCAGGGCTTGTGACAGGTCCCGCTTCTGGCCCAGGGGACTCGGCAGTCACTGAAGCCAGCCTGGGACCAGGTACATGGGAGAGAGGTTTTTCCCGAAAGGGGTGGTTGTTGATCTGCAGGATAGACCAGACGCATGTACTTATCTTTTGCAATTGAGCACTTCTTTTCACTGTTCGGAAGTCCTGAGTAGACTCTCTGCCGCTTTGTCTCACCTGATGTGGAGAAGCGTCCCGAGCACCACTGCTTGCCTCAACGCACATGCCAGCTTATCCGGCTTGAAGGGTGCTGGCTCCCGCTGGGTCAGGTCTGGCAACTCGTCGCTGCTTCCGAACCGTCTCTCCCTCCCCCTGCCACTCAGTCCGATACCTCAACTTTGCCTTAGTGTTCAGGGCTCCTAGATTGTCATATATAATCGCTTCACTTGTTTTTTCGGGTCTTTGTTGTAAGAGGGCCCACAGGAATCTCACTAGTGTGCTATCTTGGCCCCGCCTCCCTCAGCGACAACTTTTTATGCAAAGATTAGTGTTCGCCATTCTTTTAATTTCATCTTCTGAATGAATATCTTGTTGATTAGGCAGATATAGCATGTTTCTCCTTTTATGTTGGTGAGTTTAACCTTTACTAGTATTCTCTCTGTTTCCTTTTTTACACCCAAAACAGATAACCACTATCTGTTGATATTAGTAACCAAAAAAAAGTAATTACTACTTTATTTTAATGTAATTCGAATGTAAAGAGTTTTGTGCCTACACTTTGCCGGGCACTAGGTGGCTTTTAAGCAAAGTATATGTGTGTAGTTCCATTTTATTAACACTGTCATTAATTTCTAACATATATATGGGAAAAATTAAAGTTTAAACCATGGATTGGATCATGGGAGATTTTTTGCAGCATGCTTTTAAATTTAATATTAAGACTTCTTTGTGTATTTATATAATTTTGTTAGATCCCTTGTCCAAAACTATTGATCTAGATGTGTTTGGGTACTCAGAAATTTTCCAAAACTTTTTAGAATGTATCTGTTGTATGTTATGTTGGTATCTTTTTAACTGAACATTTCAGAGTTCAGTGTGTTATTTCTGATAACATAATTCTGTTTCCTTAGACTTAGTAGCTGTCATGACTAAGACACTTCTTTTCTTATTTGCTTTTTAAGAATTACATGTTTTATAGAACTGTTGCTACCTTTGTTTATTTCTTTTAGAGAAAATTTGTCCAAGGATCTTTACTTGATATCTCAGATGGACAGTGATCAGTTCATCCCAATTTGGACAGTTGCCAATATGGAAGAAATAAAAAAACTGACCACAGACCCTGATCTAATTCTTGAAGTGTTAAGATGTATGTAAATAGTAACTTTTATCTATTTTTAAGTTTCAGAAAGTTAAATACTAATTTCTGATCGTACAGGGAATTGTTTTTAACTGCCTCTTTTTTTTTGGCTGTTTAAATAATTTTTATTTGTACTAACTGGTATAGATTAATCTATGTATTCAGTATTCAAAACTGACAGCTTAATCTATCAATTTTGCACCTTGGATGTTGATCTTAATGCCTGCTTAGCAAATATAAGCAATTAAGTCTCAGTTTTCTGGGCTATTAGAAAGCCATATGCCATATGTGTCATTTTCATGCACTCTAAAGCAGTGTGTGTCAAACTTTTTTGAACCAAGTAAGATTACATTATAAATCACAGCCCAATTACACACCACATACCCACACACAACTGAAATGTTAATTAACGTTAATACTAAATGCTTATAATGAATTTATTTTATTCTAAAATGATTTCACGATGTAGTAATGAGTTGCAGCATGCAGTTTGACAAACACTGCTTTAAATATTGGTAAACCTTTAAAATTAAGGTTCTAAAAATATTTAGTGGATTTTCTGTCTTATCATTGTTTCTGGGTAATCTCTCTTATGTGATTTTTTTTTTACTACAAGGTAAGTCTTCACTTTTATATGAAGTATGTTACTGAAAATGTTTAAAGGTTAAGTATAGCAAGTCCAATAATAGAGCTATGTAGGGATAGAAGATTTCTATTCTTAGAGGGCTAAAAACATTTATGAAATCTTAATTGGTTTATGCAGACATTATTTCTTAGAATGACCCAGGCTTGTCAACATAAATTCAGAGTAACAGGCAGAAGCCCCCATCTCCTTTGTTAGGAAACCAGTACTTATACCCAAACCGAAGCCTTTCACCTTGACTGCTGCTTTTATTATCTCCTCTTAGCTGTACAGGGAGACAGGCTTTATACTATTTACTTCTCTGAAGGGACCAGAAAGAAAAGTTTTGGCTATGTGGTACTATCTTTATTAAATCAGCATCTAAAGGATGGCTTCTGGGTTTCTGTGGTAATATACAAGAATAAATATGTTAAAATCAAGGATAGCTTATAATTGTTTGTGTATAGTTGTTGGGTTAAGGGCTTTTTAGGACTTTAATTTAAAAAAGAATTTGTTTATATATCAGAGCCCATGACTTCCTCCAAAATAGTGTTTGGCCAATGTTAAGTATACCCATCTGTTATCTCTAAAATGAATAATTTGGCTAGTATTTACAGAGAAATTGCCTTATAAGATATGTGTTGTATGCTTCCAGAAGGCTTTTTTTTTTTAAAAAAAAAAAAAAACCTCAACACAGTGCCAAGTCACAAAATAGGTACTATGAGTATTTGTTCAGTGAACAGCGTTTGGCATTGTTCTTTGCATATAAATCTCGAAAAGAATATTTCATCCTTACTGTAATCTTTGATTCTACGACTTAGTTTCTTTAGGATATTAATGTGGTCTCTGCTAATTTATTCGCAGTTGGAAATTGAAATGAATAGTATTTAATGGCATTATTAATATCTCTGGTTGTGACTTTTAAATGAAATCCTTTCTTTTTTACATTTCAGCTTCCCCCATGGTTCAAGTTGATGAGAAGGGTGAGAAAGTGAGGCCAAGTCATAAACGCTGTATTGTTATTCTTAGAGAAATTCCTGAAACCACACCAATAGAGGTAAATGATCAAGCATTCTTAAAGCTAAATGTTCTTTAACTATTTAAATTGGAGCAGATAAACAAGCAAGGAATAACTCATGGTCTGCATATCAATTACTGTGAATAGGATAAATACTTATCTGTTTGGTAAATTGTGTAATACTAGAAGCATGATACAGAAGGGGGAAGGAGATATAATTCTATGTTCTTATAATACTCAGTCTTTAGTATTGCAGTGATACTAATTCTCTGTTTGTTGGTTTGACTGAATGGCAGTTAAAATATAAATGGGCTCTTTTGGGACCTTTCAGATTTATCTGGAAGAATGAACCTAGACAGGAATGAAAAAAATTTGAGTAAGGATTAATGAGGCAGGACTAACCCCTACTGGTTAGCAAAATATAAAGCAAAGCTGTAGTCATAAAGATTATGACTTGTACAAGAATAGGATAATATTTGAATGAAACAAAATAATGCAGAAACACACCCTTTTATATAATGTACATATGATAATGTTTATTTAGTATTTGGGTTCTTCCAAGTGCTGTGCCGTGTACTTTCCCATTAAAAACCCATTGCCAGCAAATCGATTCCAACTCATAATGACCCTACAGGACAGAGTAGAACTGTCCATGGGGTTTCCAAGGTTGGAAGCAGATTGCCAGATCTTTCTCCTGTAGAGTGGCTAGTGGGTTCGAACCACTGACCTTTCGGTCAGCAGCGGAGTGCTTAACCGTTGTACCACCAGAGCTCCTTGCAGTGTACTTCATTGTTATTTAAATCTAAGGATTTTATTATCTCTGTTTTACAGATAAAGTGAGCAAGACTTAGGATGACTGATTAACTTGCCCAAGGACACATGGGCTGTTAAATGACAGGATTTGAACTTGATCTCCCTAATTCCAAAGCTCGTGTTTCTGAACTACTATACAACAGAGCTTCACACTAAGTTGTAATGTTAAGGCACTGTAAATTAGAGAAAGGGAGGATTGATTAGGAACTGATTTATGGTAATCGATTAACCATTTAGAAAAAAATTATTGTAGACCCTTGCCACATAACAAAATAAAATTTAACACCCTATTAGGTAAACCTTATGCCCAAAGTCATTTGGCATTAAGTTTCCAGAATGAAGATTTTCTGAACTTAGAAGCATGGGAAAAATTAAAAAGGAAACTAGATCTTTGATTTAAAATTTCGAACTGTATGTTATTTAAAAAAAAAAAAAAAGTAACAGATTGAAAGGAAAACCGTAGAGTGGGAGGAATAGTTGCAGTATTAAGAAACAGTGTGGAGGCTGTGAGCTTGAACTCTGTAGCCAAGACTGCCTGGGTTTGAATTCCAGCCTTTTTACTTGTTTGCCCTGTTACCTTGGGTAGGTTACTTAACCCCTCTTCTTTGGTTTCCTCATCTGTTAGAAGAGATAATAGTAATAAGTAACTCAGCATATGGTTGTTGTAAGAATGAAATGAGTTAATATATATATAAAATGCTTAGAGCAGTACCTGGCATATAAAACACTGAGGTTAGCCATTATTATTGTTACATTATAATTCATATTTTGAATGCATAAAGAGCTAATAATACACGTGGGAAACAGTAAATAAAGTCATCACGTACTGTTTGTTTTAAAAAAATAAAAGGAAGTGCAGACTGAAATAGCCAGTGAAAGTCTGCCTATGCCTAAGTAACCATGAAATGCAAATTAAAATGAGTAGGGTTAGGATCCTGACCTTTAAAGTTACTGTCAGGTTGAATACATTTTTGATTACTCTGAATTCAGGCTTCTTATTTTTGAGACAGTAAATCTGTGAAGCCTAACTGTTCCTGTAGAATGATAAAGCCTAAAAATACGGATTTTACTAAGGTTTAAATAAATTAATCAATTTGTTAAATATTTTTAAGGGGAATTAGAAACATCTGGAGTTATCTGTGTACTTTTGAAGATAGAGATTGATAGGTGGCAGCCTAACAATTCCACAGATAGTTCTCTCCAAAAATGTAATTCTGGGCTAGATGCAAATTCTTAACTGATATTGGTAATATTTTACTTTTCTCATAAAAATTGTAAAGCTCAGCTGGCTGCCCACATATTTATTTCAAGCAACATTTGACTTAAGAAAATTTCACAAGATGAACGTTCTCCTTTTTTAATTTATTGTACTAAAAATTTCAGAGAGTTAGAATACAGGTTAGACTTTAATGTCATATTGATTTTCCAATCAGCTTAGTAGTTGTCTTTTTTTTTTTTTTAATTGCTGCCTGGCGATATTTTGACATTTTATGAAGAAGTTTAACCTAATCAAATTCTTTTACTATTTGAGAATTGCTGGTTATCATTAAATTTCTCTTTGAACTCAAATAGATTTTAGACATAATGGACTTTGGAGCTATACAAATCTAGAATTGAGTTCCACTTTGTGATAATGTGAATAGATCAATCTGAGCCACCATTTCTTCAGCTGTAAAATGGAGATCGTAAAACCTTCCTAAGTAAATCATAGTGTCTGACCCTTGGTCATATTTCAGTGTGTGTTGTTTCCTTTCTTTCTATAACTGTTTAGGCACGCTTAATTCTTAATGTTTACTTCTCCTTGTATTCTTTCTTTTTATAAACTAGCTTTTATAACTGTTTCAAGATTTTTATATCAGTTATGGAAAAGAAAAGACATGCTTGCACAGAGTTCTTATCTATGACTGATGTAAGCAAAGTATTCGGATTAAATGAGAATGCATGAAAATACTTAGGACCCAGAAAGTGTTAACAGAGAGCATACCATTTCTTTTGGATAATGGCAGGAAAAGGACTGGAGAAATTTTACTATTAAGGAAAATTAAGATTGCCACTAGGACAAAAACCATTCATTTTTGCTGATCATAATATAAGGTTCCATTCTTAAATCATATACAAAATTTACCCTATAACTATGTATGTTTTATTCCAGAGCATAAACTACCCTCACTAGAAAAATAGGCAGAAGGCATAAACAGTTACAAGTGAAGAAGTAGAAAGAACTGAAAGACATGAAATGCTCAGTTTTCCTAGTAAGCAAAAAAATGCCAACTATTGATGTCTTTTTAAAAATTAACTAAAGCTTTTCCATTTTTTTTTAGGAAGTGAAAGCTTTGTTCAAAAATGAAAACTGCCCCAAGGTGATAAGCTGTGAGTTTGCACACAATAGCAACTGGTATATCACTTTCCAGTCAGATACAGATGCACAACAGGTGAGAAAAAGACAAAAAAACCTTTTCTCCTGATGCAGTCCTGGTGGTAAAAGTAACACAGTATTTTAATTGAGGAAATATGTGCTTACAGTAATGTTTATAAAGACTGTTGAGAACCTTTGTCACTGTTTTGTTTTTGATTAATTAGTTTTTCTCTTAATCACGTCCTAAAGCTTTTTCAGTCTTAGTTTAAGAACAGTTTGTTACCTGTCAGTAAACACACTATTTCAAAATAAGCATGGAGATTGGGAACCAAGCACTCAATAGCATTTCTAGTACATAGTAGGCATGTAATAAATATAACTTCCCTTCTGGTTCTTATCTTGGAATTTTGACTTAATGGTTTTACTCTTAATTGTTACATCCTATTTAAGGAAAAGAGAAGTAATATTCCTTTGAAACAAAAATATCCATATCTATGATAGCATTTTTTGAACCATTTGCTGATCTTTAAATTTTTTTTTATTCTTCATCTTAGAAGGTCATCTGATTGAATAATTTCAGAGTCTGTTTTGATTCGTCTGCGTTTCGTATCTACAGTAGTCCATGGTACCTAGTCTAGAATAAATGTGAATTGTTACCTAAGAAGGTCTTAATTTTGTACTTTTTTTGCTCCCTGTCACCTGCTATTATGCAGGAATCATCTCCAGAATTTTTTTAATTTAGTTTAGAGGCAGTTGTTAATTCAAACTCTCTTGCTAGATTAAAGATGGTTTAATTGAAATATTTGAGGGCTAATAAAAGTTCCTTTCTGCTTTGTTTTCAGGCTTTTAGATATTTAAGAGAAGAAGTAAAAACATTTCAAGGCAAGCCAATCATGGTAAGAAATTTTTAACTAAAAGCCAGTGTGAAACAAAGTTTTTTGAAAAATTGAGAAAACACAGACATAATATTTTATAAAACTAGTGGGGATTTTAAAGAAATTCCTGGCTCAAATGCTGTGCTACCTCAGAAGATTATTTGATAAGAGCGTCAAAATACTTCGGCTACATAATTCTTTCCAAAGACATAACTTGAAACAACATGACCTCTCAGTCAGATGCTGCTTCATAACATGTAATTCCAGATCTCAAAATGAGCAATAGGGATAATTTTTTAGTAACAGAGGTGGAAACATTCTCAGGACTTATAAACTCATCCCAGTTAACTGCATCATCCCAGTAACATTAAACTATTTGGGAACCTGGGAGTTGTCTGTGATGATGCTTGCTCACTCTCTTTACATGTCTAGCCCATTCTTAGGTCCAGTGAAATCTGTCTTCAAAACTTCTTTCCATCATTATTGCCATTGTGTAGGCTTGAACAATTGGAGTAGCCTCTGCATTGTTTGCTATGCCCCCAGCCTTTTCCCTCCTTAAAATCTAATTGCTGTCAGAGCAACCATTCTAAAATACAGTCCTAAACAGACCTATTTTGACATATTCCTTATTCCCTGTGTAATGCAATTATTCTCGTTAGTGTTTGTAAATGTGATACATTGTTCTTACTAACGCCTCTCTTTTCAGCACTTACTATGTATCAGTTTCTGTTCTAAACACTTTATGTATTTAGTATTTATGTATTCAATTAACTCATTTAAGCCTTACAAGAACCTAATGAAGTGTAGGTACTCTTGCTTTCTCCCTTTTACCAGTGAGGAAAATGAGGCAGGAGAAGAAACTACCCAGGTTCACACATCTAGTAAGTGGAAGAACCAGTATGAGAGTAACTTGTATTTAATGAGAGGTTACATGTCATGCACTGTTCTGAGACTGACATATTTTAATCTCACTATTGCTGATCAGAAGATTTCAAAGGGTTGTTCAGGAAGACAAAGTGTAAAGTGTTAATAGTAAAATGTGCAAAGACCTGGAGTTAGAAAACCAAAAGGGAAGAACACACTCGGCATTTCTCAAGCTGAAAGAACTGAAGAAAAAAAAAAATTCAGCCCCTGAGTTGCATCATTGAAGGATTTATGGGCAAAATATTGAACGATGCAGGAAGCATCAAAAGAAGGAAGGAATACACAGAGTCACTGTACCAAAAAGACTTGATCGACATTCAACCATTTCAGGAGGTAGTATATAAGCCAGAACTGTTAGTATTAAAGAAAAAAGTCCAAGCTACACTGAAGGCATTGGCGAAAGACAAGTCTCCAAGAATTGACAATACCAGTTGAGGTGTTTCAACAAACAGATGCAGCACTGGAGGGACTCACTTGTCTATGCTAAGAAATTTGGAAGACAGCTGCTGGCCAACTGACTGGAAGAAATCCATATTTGTGCCAATTCCAAAGAAAGGTGATCCAACAGAATGCAGAAATTATTGAACAATATCATTAATATCACACGCAAGTAAAATTTTGCTGAAGATCATTCAGAAGTTGCAACAGTACATCAACAAGGAACAGCCAGAAATTCATGCCAGATTCAGAAGAGGATGTGGAACGAGGGATAACACTGCTGATGTCAGATGGATCTTAGCTGAAAGCAGAGAATAACAGAAAGATGTTTACTTGTGTTCTTATTGACTATGCAAAGGCATTCGACTGTGTGGATCATAACAAATTATGGATAACATTGCAAAGAATGGGAATTAATTAATAGGAATTAATTGTGCTTATGAGGAACCTGTACATAGACCAATATTCAGTCATTCAAACAGAACAAGGGGATTCTGCGTGGTTTAAAGTCAGGAAACGTGCATCAGGGTTGTATCCTTTCATCTTACTTATTCAGTCTGTATGCTGAGCAAATAATCCGAGAAGCTGTACTGTGTGAAGAATGGGGCATCAAGATTGGAAGAAAACTCATTAACAACCTGCCATATGCAGATGACACAACCTTTCTTGCTGAAAATGAAGAGGTTTTGAAGCACTTAACTGATAAAGATCCAAGACTACAGCCTTCAGTATGGATTACACCTCAACATAATAATCCTCAAAAAAACAAATTCTCACAGCTGGACCAATAAGCAACATCATGGTAAGTGGAGAAAAGGTTGAAGTTGCAGGAGTTTAATTTTACTTGAATCCATAATCAGTGCCCATGAAAGTAGCAGTCAAAAAATCAAACAGTGTATTGCATTGGGCAAATCTACTGCAAAAGATCTCTTTAAAGTGTTCAAAGTAAAGTTGTCACTTTGATGACTAAGGTGCACCTGACCCAAGCCATGGTGTTATTTTCAGTCGTTTCATATGCATGCAGAAGCTGAGCAATGACTAAGGAAGACCGAAGAATTGATGCCTTTGAATTATGGTGTTGGCAATGAATATTGAATATACCATGGACTACTAGAGGAAGGAACAAGTCTATCTTGGAAGAGGTACAGTCAGAATGCTCCTTAGAAGTGAGGATAACAAGACTTTGTCTCATGTTCTTTGGACACGTTCTCAGGAGGGACCAGTCCCTGGAGAAGGACATCATGCTTGGTAAAGTAGAATGTTAGGGTAGGAGAGGAAGACCTCTGTGACCCTCAGCGAGATTGATTTCCACAGTGGCTGCAACGATGAGCTGAAGCATAGCGATGATTGTGAGGATGGTGCAGGACCAGGCAGTGTTTTGTTCTGTTGTACATGGTGTGGCTGTGAGTCGGAACTAACTCGATGGTGGCCAACAACAACAACATTGCTGTGTGGTGGTGGTATTATTAATTTCCATGTTATAGGTGATGAAATCTGCTACTGGTCATTCTTTTCCTATGCCCCTAATGCCTTTCTCCCTATTCTTTCCCTGTTTTGAGGTTATAAAGATATTTTTCTCGGTCTTTCTCTTAGTTATCTAATGCTGCTATAGCAGAAGTACCACAAGTGGATGGCTTTAACAAACAGAAGATTATTCTCGCACTGTCTAGTAGGCTAGAAGTCCAAATTCAGGGCACCAGCTCCAGGGGAAGGCTTTCTCTCTCTGTCGACTCTGGAGGAAGGTCCTTGTCATCCATCTTCCCCTGGTCTAGGAGGTTCTCAGTGTATGGACCCTGGGTCCAAAGGACACGCTCTGCTCCTGGCACTACTTTCTTGGTGATATGAGGTCCCTCTGTTTCTCTGATTGCTTCTCTCTTATGTCTCAAAAGAGATTATCTCAAGATACAACCTAATATTGTAGATTGAGTCCTGCCTCATTAACATAACTGCCGTTAATCCCATCTCATCAACATCATAGAGATAGGATTTACAACACATAGGAAAATCATATCAGATGACAAAATGGTGGTCAGTCACATAATACTGGGAATCATGGCCTAGCCAAGTTGACACAAATTTTTGGGGGGACACAATTTAATCCACAACAGTCTTCTAATAGCTTTAAAGTTTTATAGTTGAGATTTAGGTCTTTGATACATCTGAAATTTATTTTGATATACAAGTGTGCTAACTGAAAGGTTGGCAGTTTAAACCCACCTAGCAGCTCTGTGGGAGAAAGACCTGATGATCTCCGTCCGTAAAGATTACAGCCTAGAAAACTCTGTGGGCAGTTCTACTCTGTTACACGGGGTCGCTGTGAGTCAAAATCGACTCAGCAGCACCTAACAACAACATAGTATAAGATAGAGATCTTATTCCACTTTTTTTTGTATATGCAAAGCCAGTTGCCTCAATACCATTTATTGAGTGGTTTATCCTCCCAAATTTTTATGTAATGCCTCTTCTTAATTCTGTCTTCCTGGATCCGTATCATTGTTTTAATTACCATACTTTTTTATAATATTCATACGCAAGTTCTCCCTCTTTGTTCTTATTTTTCACATGTATAATTCAGTAACACCAGTTATGTGAATCATGTTGTGTAATCATTACCAGAATCCGTTGCCAAGATTTCCATCATCGTAAGCAGATACTCAGTGCTTCCCAAACAATCATATCCTTTTTTTCCCCTTCCAGCCTCCCCTGATAACTGCTAATAAACTTTGTTCTCTATGCATTTGCCTATTCTAGGTATTTCATATAAATGGGATCCTACAGCATTTGTCCTTTTGTGACTGACTTATTTCACTCAGCATATTTTCAAAGCTCATTCATGTTATAGTGTGTACCAATATTTTATTTCTGTGGCTGAGTAATATTCCATTTTATGTATATGCCACATTTTGTCTATCCATTTATCTGTTGATAGACATTTAGGGTGTTTCCACCTTTTGGCTATTATGAATAGTCCTGCAATGAACATTGGTTTACATGTGTTGGTTTATGTCGCTGCTTTCAAGTCTAGGGCCTATACCTAGAAGTGAAATTGCTAGTTCTATATTCAGCCTTTGAAGAACTGCCAAACTGTTTTACATAGCAGCAGCACCATTTTGCATTCCCACCAGCAGTGGATGGAGGGTTCCAGTTTCTCCACATCCTTGTCAACATTTGTTGTTTTTTGTTTGTTTTATCTTAGTCATCTTAGTGGGGGTAAAGTGGTTTCTCATTGTGGTTTTCATTTGCTTGGCTGTTCTTAAAACTGTTGTATATGAATTTTAGAAAGTTTGTGTAGTGCTAACAACCAACCAAATGAAAATCCTGTTGGAGTTCATTTCTGTTTTAAGATTGAGTAGTATTCCATTGTATGTGTACGCCATGTTTTGTTTATCTATTCATCAGTTAATGGACAGTTGGGTTGTTTCTACCGTTTGGCTATTGTGAATAATGCTGCAACGAATATTGAGGTACAAATATCTGGTTTAATCCTTCTTTAAGTCTATTGAGCAAATACTCAGGAGTAGAATTGCTAGGGCATATGGTAATTCTATGTTTAACTCTTTGAGGAACCCTCAAACTGTTTTCCATAGCAGCTACATCATTTTACATTTCTACCATCAATGTACAAGGGTTCCAATCACTCAACATCCTTGCCAACAGTT